GGGGTGGGGGGGTGGGGGGGCAGGGCTGAAGGCACTGGCTGGAACCTTCGGCAACACCTTTTCCTGCTTCAGCTCTGCTTGAAGCTGGGAGCCTTCTGTGTCACCCAGTATACAGGCCAGCAACCCCCCCGCAGAGTGGGATGTGTTGTCTCGAGAACACAAAGATGTTTGCAAGGCGCTGTGCTTCTTTCTTTGTGATGGGATGGCACAATGCAGCAGTCTGCCTGTCATTTGGGGAGGGGATATCCCAGAATACCCCCGATGGCTAGAATTCTAAAAATGTCACGGAAATGGCCTATTCCTGACTCCTTGTAGAGTTTTCTCCCATTGTCGATTGCATGCATCTGATTGAGGCCTGCTAGCATTCTAGCCCCTCTGGCTGGTCCTGTCCAGTCACTGGATGTCATCAGTAAAATGGATCAGTGTGATACTCTCTTGGATATCAGGCCCAGATCTGTCAGACCGTATTATGACAGGACGTGGGGGCGTTAACATAACCTGAAGCAAACTGTCAACTGAATGTTGTCTGTTTTCCCTGCCCACAGTCTCCACCAACGCTTCTCGCTGGAGGCTTAAGTGTCGCATCCACAGGTGTGGAATCCCATTTAGCAAAGTGTCCAACCACAGGATCTGCTTCAAGTGGAGAATTAACTGGTCTGATAGACTGCTGAAACGGCCTTCTAAAGTCACACTGAAATGGTGGAGTGCGGTCCTTTAGGACATGGTGCATTTCTTATATCAGAGCCCTCTGTGTGGTGCTGTGTTCTCAGTAGGAAGGACACAAGGCTCTGAAAACCAAGGGGTGGGAGCAGAAGTGGTCTAACTTACCATCATTCTTGATGATCCCCAGGGAATCTGTGTTTCCTTTCCTTGCAACCCTGAGCTCTGCATGGTTGAGGGGCCTGGTCCCCAAAGGGAATGCCCTCTCCAGAGGCACAATGGAGGCTCCATTGAATGAGAAGTTATGGCTGCTGACAGGGCACTTTGGAGTTTCCTGTCAGGAACAAGCAGGCGAGGGGGGAGTTGCCACCCTAGCAGGAGTAACTGAACCTGATTGTACACCACAGGGGCCAGGAGGAATGCGGGTGGGACTCTGGTGAGTCATGTAGGCACCTCCTCTACTCCCTTGTCTCACTATAACTGTGACTAGGACACATGCAGCCACCCAGCCTGAGAAGGGAGGCTATGACTATGAAGTGTTCAAACCCTTCAGGAATCAAGGTTTGTCTCAAGACCCGCCAAAGTGAGAGCAGAGGCTGAAAGGGGTTTAGAATGGATATTGGAGAAGGGAGAAAATGAGTATTCATTGTGGCCTTGGGATCAGCTGTGATGATCTTGGGGGACTATAGTTCATCCAGTAAATTTCCTCTTCTCAGTGGCTCCTCAAGAGGGAGTCCAGGAGGCCCTTGGAGGAGCTGCTTTCTGTACCTTTGTGGAGAAGGAGATCTATGTGGCACAGGAGGGGGACTTTGGGGGCCAAGAGACACTGGCTCACAGCTCTCCAACTACAGGAACATAACTGAACAAAGGCCTCAGCTGCTTCACTCTGGATTCTACCACCACATTTTTGCTAACCTATGCTTCCAGCGGGCTGCTCCGAGCCAATGACTGAGCTCAGCGGGGATATTAAGGCAAGCCCAGGTCCCCTTGTTCAATTCTATGGAGAATTTCAAGATGGCAGCCACAGAACATTGAACCAGGTGTGGGCCCTGTGAGACTACAGGTGGCTCTGCCTGGGAGAGTACTGGTCTCCTCTAATAGCTGACTTCCCCCTGATAGCTTTGCTGAACCTTGTTTAGACTGCAGAGCTGTCTAGAAAGCTTCCATTCAGCCTTTCTTCCCTCTCCTCTTCTTTTAGGGTCAGACTTGGATCCTGCTCTGATGGTTATCCCAGCCTTCTCCATCTCCCTCACTTTCTCTCCCAAGAGCTTCCCAATAAAATCCTTGCATGTTTAATTCTGTATTGGTATCTGCTTCTCACAATGCCTAGACTATCACAGCCCATTAATCCTGCTGCCATTATCACATATGTATGTTACAAATCCTTCGACATGACTTCAAGGGCTTTCTTCCCAACAAGAAAAACAGTTTAGGCCCCCTGTCTCCTGGGTCCAAGCTGGTTGATACTGCTTACTCACAAAATGACCTGATTTCAAGTGGGTGGCCCAGGTTATATAAAGGCTAAGCCTTTTTATTCCATTTTCATCATGACTTCTCTCCTATTTGGCAAGGCTGTATTTTGGGCATGAGGTGGTAGTAGAGGTTAAAACTCCTGGGTGGGGCGGAAAGAGACACCAGATAAAAAAGTGAGAAATCAGTAACAGGAGAGAGAATGTACTTAAGAAAGGACAAAAGTAGAGCATAGCTGAGAGAGAAAACAAGGAAGCCTTAAAGTGGCATTTTCTGAGAAAGACCCTGGGTAGGGCTCCCTTTGGATCTTGGATGTTGGTGGCCCCAGGGCCAATGCTTTTGGCTGTTGGAAAAAAGGCTGCTTGCTTTCCTTCTCTCACTGCTGTGAGAGAGTAACTCTCACTGCAAGCCCAAAGTGGGACTCGATCCTGAGACTCCAGGATCATGACCTGAGCTGAAGGCAGTTGCTTAACCAACTGAGCCGCCCAAGTGCCGTCCCTTTAATATATATTAACTCATTTAAATTTTCAAAGGCATAACTATGAGGTAGGCAATTTTAAAAAATACCCATTTTACTGATACAGATAACAGTCTTTGAAACTGGTGGTGCATAAACCTAAAGTATATGGGTCCTCCTAATTCTATGCACTCTGAAGTATTCATGGCCCAAGAGACACAATGTTTATTCTAGTATATCCTTGAGATCAGAGGAGAGACTTTATAGACCAGGAAATTTGCCCCCCCCCCAATTTTTTTTTTTACCTCAAATTGAGTTTGGAACTATGTTTCTGAGAAACACTTGATTGCAGACCCAGTGTTTTTCTTATATTCCAGGAGATTCCTGTGGATGGAGAGTCTGAGCCACCCTGAGCCACACCCCCACTCTACAGCATTCTAACAGTGAAAGGTTTGGCAGAACCCCTGGTTGCTCTAGGACTCAAGAGTTTTCACTTTCATACCACCTTGCTTATGTGTGTAGAAAACGATCTATACTAATGAGATATTATATTTGTGGAGCCTATGGTAGACAACGTCTTTTTTTTTTCCCCGTTTTCCTGCCCAGTATCCCACCCCTTACCCCACTTGGGGGTACACCCATCATAAGAACACTGGTGGAAGAGGGACGGAACGTGCTCTCACTCTGCTTCAATAGCTATGGGCTGGTTTTGACATAGAGTCGGCCAGTGGACACTCCCACAGAGGACTTGAATTCTCATTTCCTTTCTATTTATTTCTATTTCTATTTCTACTCATTTCTTGAGAGTGCAGTGGACCATTCTTGGTGCCGCCAGATGGTATTGTGCTTTCTGGGTTTTGATGCTGCAGAGCTGTCTTGATTCCTTACCGCATCATTTTGGTGCTTCCGCGAACCCCTGTGAGTCTTTAATAACCTTTTTCTACATACGGTATCCAGAGCTTGTTTCCTGCTCACAACCAAGAATGCTGATTGAGATAGAGCCCTCTGTAGTTGGTGAAGTCCCTCCATTTACATTAGTTCTTCTGCTCTGAGAAACAGCTTCATCTTCCCACCCTTCAGTGATGTTTGTGCTAGACCCCCACCAGGGCAAGCACACTTTACTACTTTGCAAGCCCCACGTGGGTAGGAACCAAGTCTGCTTTGTCCACTGTACAACCAGGGAGCAGGCACAGCACTTGCTGGACACCTAGCAGGCAGGGGGGACTGGGGAGTATACATCATATGAAAGAATGATTGCAGGAGCGAGTGCACAAACTCTTAGCCCCCTTCCTGGCTGTGTGATGTTACAGTCACTGGTCTTGGAAGAAGAAGGAGGGGTCTTAGGTGAGGCATGACGCCTCCAGCTTTGTTCTTTTTGCTCAAGATTGCTTTAGATACTTTGAGTCTTGTGGTTCCATACACATTTTAGGAGGGTTTGTTTTAGTTCTGTGGGGAAAAATGTCATTGAAATGTTTGGAAAGATTACATTGAACCTACACATTGCTTCGGGTAGTGTGGACATTTTAACATTAATTCTTTCAATCCACAAGCACGAACTGTCTTTCCGTTTGTGTGTTCTTCAACTTCTTTCTTCAGTATCTTACAGTTTTCAAGGTCTCAGGCATTTTAAATTGTAAGACTTTTGGGACACCCTCTATTTATTATAAAGAGGTGCTGCTTGATCCGTTTTGGTGGAGACCCGCTCATCCACACTTTGCAGCACCCCCTTGAAAAGAGCAGCCAATTGAACATGTCCAGTCATGAAAGGATGGAAGATGGTGTGAAGGCCAGTGCCGAAGCCAGCTGGCCCCAGCCTGCTCCCCGAGCTAAGAGAGAGGCTCCAGTCTTTACCAAAGCGAGTCGTTGGGCCGCTCTGGGCCAGGGTGGCCTTATCTGTTAAGTGTGCGCAGGGGTCGCTGTTTTCCTGGGACGCGCTGGGAACCAAGCAGAAGCACGCCCAGGAGGACCTAATCCAAACTGCCGGACCTTTATCCAGAGCCCGGCCTCCCCTTCGCCCCTCCCAGTTACGCGGCGCCGGCCGGGAGAGGGGGTGGGGCAGGAGGGCGCGGGGGGAAGGGGCGGCGGGAGTAACAGGTGGCCTCCGTCCCCTTCGCTGACTCGCGTGAGGACGCCGGCCGCCCTCCGGAGTGCGCGAGGGGTAGGGGGCAGCGTGCCCGCAGCGTTCCAGGCCGGCTGGACCCACGTCCCTGGCTCTGTCCTCCGGGCGCACTCAAAGCCCCGGTGCCATTTGCACTTGGCCTCGGTCTCGGGCTGGGGCGCCAGGCGGGGCAGCGACAGGACCTTTCCGGACCTTTCCTGGGGGAAGCCCCGCTCTCCCCGCCCCTAGCATCCGCCCGGGGGCCGGGCGCGCGGGCGGGCGGAGCCCCAGCGGAGGCCGTGAGCCCGGGCAGGGAGCAGCCCTTTTTGCTGCGCCAACACGGTGGCCGGAAGCTCCGCTCGTCTCTGGGTAAGAGGCCATCTCGGGCCGTGGGCCAGGGGAGCGGGCCAGGCGGGGACAGATCACCCCGGAGGCTGGTTGGTGGCCCCTCTCTGCCCACGCAGCCGGGACTGTGCGCGGACCGTCGCTTCACGCTCCTTCCCCACCCGCGACGCCCGCAGCTCTTGCTGCCCTTGTCTGGAACTTGGCTGTGGGGACTCGTGCTTCCTTCCCGGAATGTCGGGTTTCGGGGGCGCGGTGACGCCAACCTGCGAGCGGCGGTTGGAAACCCAAGGATCTGTGGTCTTGGTGCGTGGGAATTTCTTGGCGGCTTGGTATGCGGGAATTGGTGACGCCCTCCACTTGTTGAATATGTCCCTTGGCGCCGTCGCAGGACACAGTGCCCAGTCTCAGGGATCCGAGGTTGACATCCGCCCGCCCCGGAGGCACACTTACCCACCGACGCCGAGCGTCGGACTGAGGCGGACGCTCAAAGAAGCAGCTTCGGCTGGAACGAGATAGCATTTAGGTCACGTGCTGAACGGGAGTTGGTGGAAAGGAGAGAATCCTCTGGCGGAATTGGGGCTCTTACCGTTTGCTCTTCATCTCTCGGTTAAATATGAAAATCCCAGCCTCGCTTCTTGCTCAAAGACGCAGTGAGAAGAGCTTCTGCACCTGCCTGGGCTTCTTTGCTGTAATGCGGGGTTCTGACCCGTTTCTGTACCGTTAGCCCTTCGGCAGGCCGTTCTGGGGAGAGTAAGGATGCCTTCCCCAAACAATAGTTTTAAAGCTATAAAATAAAAGTATTGTAAAGGGAACTATTTCCAAAGCACTTATCAAATATTAAAAGAATCTATAATGTAGTAATATATGTGCTTTAAAGAAAACCTAATGCGTCAAAGATCTAGCAGCAGATCTAGCTACCATAATTTTGGAATAGTAATGAGCATAATATTTCAAGATATAGGCAACACCTGTGATATAAGAAAACGCCTGTGGTTTTGGGTTTTTTTTTTTTTTTAATTTATTTGACAGAGATCACAAGTAGGCAGAGAGGCAGGCAGAGAGAGAGGAGGAAGCAGGCTCCCTGCTGAGCAGAGAGGCTGATGAGATGTGGGGCTCGATCCCAAGACCCTGGGATCATGACCTGAGCTGAAGGCAGAGGCTTTAACCCACTGAGCCACCCAGGTGCCCCGGTTTTTTTTTTTTTTTTTTTTTAAGATTTTATTTATTTATTTTTGAGAGAGAGAGAGAGAGAGCACACAAGCCAGGTGGAGGGCTAGAGGGAGAAGCCGACTTCCCACTGAGCATGGACCCAGAAGCAGGGATCCATCTGGGTGGGGATGGTGACCTGAGCCAAAGGCTGAGGCTTACCTGACAGCACCACCCAGGTGCCCCACCACCTGTGATTTCCGTTGGCAATCATAGGTACCGATGATATTGCTGTAGTTTTTGGCCTACATGTGTAACTGAAGAAAATGTTAAATTTTACCTAGAGATAGTGAAAATAAAGATGTGATTTTTTTTTTTTTTTTCCCATTCAAGTTCACAGGCCTCAGGTTAAGATCCCTGCAGAGTGCAAAGAGCACTCCCAGAGGTCAGGTGACATGGCTATGTCTTGACACTTGCTTTGACTGGCAGCTTGACCTTGGCTTTTTTTTTTTTTTTAAGATTTTATTTATTTATTTGACAGAAATCACAAGTAGGCAGAGAGGTAGGCAGAGAAAGAGGGGAAGCAGGCTCCCCGCTGAGCAGAGAGCCCGATGCGGGGCTCAATCCCAGGACCCTGGGATCATGACCTGAGCCCAAGGCAGAGGCTTTAACCCACTGAGCCACCCAGGTGCCCCTTGACCTTGGCTTTTGAACTTCTTTCCGCCTTAGCTTTTTCATTGCATGGTGGAGATAATTGTGTCTTCCCATCTGTTTAAGTACTTAGCACCACACCTGGCACAGAGATGTGAAATAAATACCATTTATTAGTCCCTCACGCTTATGGCCATCACGGTTGGTATGCCCAGCCCTGGTATATGGAAGGTACTCAGTAAACATTTATTGAATGAATAAGGTTGGAGAGGGTTGCTTATGATTACATCTAAAAAACCAAAAATTCAAAAATTCATTGAGGAGACAGCTGGTGGTTTGAGATAGGACTATTTAAAATTTGGGTGGCTTTTTTTTTTTTTTTTTTTTTAAGAGGCTAAACAAATACATAAACACATCTGGAGCTGAGTGCTTGGGATGTCAGTCAGGGCTGATAGATCGTGTGAGTGGGTCTGTGCAGCTGGTGTTCTGCCCAAGAAAATGATTTTGAATGTTGTTGGGAAACCCGCATTCCTCTGCAGAACAGTTCTTTTGCATCTTTACTGTGTCTAAGCTTGTTAATCCGTATGTTGTAACACAGGAAATGTCTAATAGGAAATGAAGACAGACCCATGATGAGGCACTTCTGGGCATAGATACACATTCTTTTTCCTCTTCTTACCTTTCCCTGCCCTCCCACCCACTACATAAGTCTGCCCCTGAAGACTTGGTAAATAGCAGTAGTGGTGGGAAGAATTTGCTAGAAGCTGCCCAGACTAGGCCTGAAGCCAACTAATTGCTTCTTTTTCTTTTTTCTTTTTTTTTTTTTAAGATCTTTTTAAGATTTTTTTTTTTTAAGATCTAATGCCAAGGTCATTAGATTCCTAATGCAGTGGGGAACCCGAGGTGGGGGGCTCCATCCCAGGACCCCAAGATCATGACCTGAGCCAAAGTCTCAAAGCTTAATCGACCAAGCCACCCCGCTGCTTCCTAACTAGTTGCTTCTTAATTCCCAGCCTTTAAAGTCTATGTAATCCAGTAAATGTGGATGATAACAGGAAGAAGAAAAGTCAGTCTAGCCAGCCAGCCTTGAGGTTTACTTTGTAAAAGTGCTAAATTGGGGGCTGGAAGATGGGGAGAGAACTTTGAAAGGAATAGGAAATTTAGAACACACTGGGGCTAACTCTGGTGTTATGGACTGAATGTGTCTGCTCAAAATTCCTATGTTGAAGCCCTAACCCCCAGGGCCTTGGCATATGACAGTATTTGGAGATAGAGCCCTTAAAAAAGAAATTAAGATTAAATGAGATCATAGGGTGGGACCTAATCCAATATGACTGATGTTCTTACAAAATGAAGAGATAGCAGGGGCTAGCCTGGTTATACCTTTGGGATTCTGTGCTGCAATAATTCACAGCTGGGATCAATCTCAGGAGTTAGGAGAATAAGTCTTCCCATTTGAGTCTTGCTTGTGAACCTCCCTTTCCCTTTCCCCCCTTCATTTGGAAGATCACAGTGTTTCTTTGAAAAGGAAGAGACTTTTGGAGACTCCCAGTCCAATCCTTTATCCATTGCTGGCACTGCCTGGAATGTGGACCCAGTCTTCTGACTCCCTGACTCCTGACACACCCTCAAACAGAGCTTCACCAGGATGGGGAACTGCGTCATTGGGTTAGACATAGGACAGACACCAGCTTAGGCGACTTGGCACACCTGTTACCTAGCCTACCCCTCTTCTGTTCTAACCATTAAAGGATTTAGTTCGGCGTCTCTTCAGTCATGTTCAAACAACAGATATATAACTTGTAATTAAAGAGTCTTTTCTCATTGTGTTAAGACCCCACACACTGGATTCCAGGGACTAATACGCCTGATTAATTGGCCAGTCCTTGTTCATAATGAAATTCTACCCTTCAGAATCTTCTTGTATGGGACACTGAGCAGGAGGCCCAGCACTCCGAGCCTGATGAGTAATTTTACTGTGACCATTTATCAGATTCAGCCTAAGCTGACCCTGCTGTGTGACTGGGAGCAAATTAATCCCACATCAGGCCTCCGTCTCCAGTGTGTCCTGTTCTACAGTCTGGGGATGGACACACACACATAGGCATATGCAGACGTTGAAAGGAAGCCTGCAGTATACTTGACTAGAGGCCAACTGTGAATGATGGACTTGAAGGGGAGCTAAAGGGTGATTACTCATACACCAGAACACGTGCGGCCACACTCCCATTGGCTAACTCAAGCCGGGAAGCAAGGCATTCCCCCACCTGCCGACAGCTCAGTCAAAACCTCTAACTTTCCGTTGAAATAATCCAGTTGACAGACTTATTTCTTCCTTGTCTGAAGTCAGAGTGCAAGCATTTTCCTTTTGCAAGTGTAATTTTTATTTTCTGCAAATATATGGCTTGAAATGTATTGAAGTTGTCAATCCCTCATTATTAGGCTTTCTTGATTATAAAATGAGTATAGGCAACGGAAACTGGTCGGAAATTCCTTAGCAGCCAAGGGGACTGCTGTTTCGTGGCCAACTCCTCACTGATGACTCTGTCAGTCTCTCTTTAAAGACATTTCTTAACACTTTGTTCTTACAGAGTTAGGGAACTAATGAGCCCCAGTGTGGCTCTGACCCCTGAGTCATGAGGGAGCAGTACATGATATTTGTTTCCTGGATGACTTTCTCTTGGTCCACAACCAGAGCATTTGCTGCACGGCTTAATACTTAATGTTAAAATATTAAAATATTTGATTTTTATAGCAACTCTGGAGAGTTGTGCTGTGGCCCTGCAGGCCTAAACAAAGATTGCTCCATTTTGTTTATTTGCTAGCAATATAGTAATCCAGTTCCCGGACACACAGGTGGTGACAGCGCTGCCATTACTCAAGGGGACGTGTGCCAAAAGGAAGGGTGCAGCTGACATTGGTCTTCACAGAGCACTGCTCCCTGCCCTTTTTGAGGTGTGGCTTCCTTCTCTCGCACCCTGCTTTGGACCTTGACTCTGCGCTGAGTGATCCAGCACTGTTACATACAGCCTCTCTTCATTAGAGCCACCCGAGCAAGGTTGTCGCTCACATTCTTCCTCCTCGGTCCCCTATAGCCCGTGTGTCACACAAAGTCCGCTCAGCCTGTGTTTCGTATCTGCGCCTTCAGCTCAGTTCGCATTGTCTGTTCCGGGCCCTCGCTGGTGCCTGAGTTTCTGAAGCAGCCACTTAGTGAGGGCTTGTATTCC